ATTTTGTATTGGTATAGAGAGGATAATGAAGATGAGGATCGGATGGGATTAGATGTTCTTTTGTTGGGCATATGGTAGTTCTGTGTTGTTTTTATTTGTGTTTCTTTACACCCTTTCCTACAAATATTTCCCTAATATAGGGCTAATACATTGTTGTTGGGCAACTACAGCTATTCCCCAGGACTAAGCCTGACCCTTGTACAAGTATACTGTGAACAAATGAAATTAATATCATAAATTTAGAAAAACATTTACACATTTCCCAGAACTAAAATCTTGAGAAGTCACCAGTGCGTGTGAAGAGTAGACAGTAGTCACATATTGCATGTTATTCTTTGGTGATTCTATGGTGGTTTTGCAGAAGTGAGACTGTTGGTTTGTTCTTAGATTGTCACCTTCATTCTGTGTTCAGCTAATGGTAAGATTGGCACAAGTTTCTTAATTAGTTTATTAAACCTGTAGATGCTAATAAGATTTTGATTTGTGGTGTGCTTTTTTTTTTTTTTCCTTTCCTTTTTTTCCACAGACCTCTGTATGGCTTTTGAATTTTAGTTGAAATTCCCTCCATGGCCTTTTGGAGTCCCTTGGTGTGTCTCCAGAATAAATTTCAAATACTCTACATTTCATCAATGTTGGAGTGGCAAGAAAAAGGTGGAACTGATTTGGGGTGAAAAGGTTAGATTGTATAACACTTCTTTTGGATTCCAACATGGTTTTAATTATGTCTTACTTTTATATTATATTTTCTGGTTTCTTAAAGCCTCCTCATAAGGTCCCTTTTTGCCTTCAAAGAGTTTTTTGACATTTATGAAATGAGGAATTGTGTTCTAATTCTTTATGAAGGCCCGTGTTACTATATACAAGCCAAGCCTCCCTTATCAGCCTTCTCAATTACTATGAATTCTATTGGAGAGTAAATCTTTTAGTAATCATAATTATTATACTGTAGAAGTAAACACATCTGTTGAACTATAATCACTTTACACATATAGACCTAAAAGTCCAAATGAAGTATTATATATTACTTGCTAAATATTCTTCTTTATGTTTAGTAACCCTTAAACACTTCTCAAAAAAATGCTAGATGGATGAAATGTACCTTATTGTTCCCTAATCATGGTCTCAAAATTCTCCCACAGTTTGTGGGGAGGACAGGTTAAAGAGCCTCTTCTGGTTCTTATATTCTCTCTGTTTCAGTTGTGTTTGCCTTTTAATTTCACATCTTGATACCTCTGTTTTAAATAATTAACCCCCAGTTAAGAGGAACTGTGTGTGCATGCATATATATGTATGTACGTGTATTCATCATCAACTTCTCATTTCTGAGACTGAAGATGAAAGGTAAAGAATTTCGTACAAGATAAATCCTTTATCAGAGGCCAAAGAAGGTTGGAGAATAGTTTAAATTACCTGCTTGAAGGTAAAGAAGTTGTCATGTTCTTTTGGGATACCAAAACTTAATTCTTGGATATCTTTTTTTCCTTGACTGACTTGGGCAACCTCTGTTTTGTAAAAGCATTTATTTTTGAGACTTGAATGGATAATTTTCTGGACACTATTGTCACAAAAATAATTTGTGTATGCTATAGCCAGCTTCTCTACATACATATATCCAAGGGAATTCCATACTAGACTCAACTTACCGGTTTTTTTTCTTTTGTGGTGCTGGGGGTCTAACCCAGGGCTTCTTGCATGCTAGGCAAATGCTCTACCACTGAGCCACATCCCCAGTCCATCTCAGCTTAAGTTCAATCAGAGTAATCACAGGAAGGCCTCAGGAGTTATACTAAATCATAAGGTATGATAATCATAAGGTTTGAAATACATATTTTCTTTGGTTGATATATTTATCTGTTTTAGTTCAGGCTATTATAACAAATTGCCATTGACTTGGTAGTTTAAACAAACATTTCTCATAATTCTGGGGGTTGGGAAGTTTAATCTCAAGGTACTGGTGAGTCCAGTGTCCAGGTACAGGCCTGCTGTCTGATTATATTCTCACAGGGCAGAAAGCAGAGGGGAAGTGCCATGTTTCTTCTAACAGCACTAATCCCATTCAGAGGGCTTCACCCTCACAGCTTAATTATCCCTCAAAGACCATCATTTTGAGGGTTAGAATTTCAACACATGGATTTTAGGTGATACAAACAATATCACTTAGCAGAAACAGTAGATCTGGCTTGGGATAACCCACCTAATTCTATAATATTGGAGAATACTTAGTATGTTTCTTTTTCTGATGACATGATTTTACATACTAAAGTTTTGTGTAAGTAACTTTTTGGCAACAAACTCCAAGGTTTGTTGGAATGATACCATTGGAAAAAAATTATACTTTGCTGACTTCTTTTTTTTGGGGGGTGGGTGTTACCAGGGATTTAATTCAGGGGCACTCAACCACTGAGTCACATCCCCAGTCCTATTTTGTATTTCATTTAGAGACAGGATCTCACTGAGTTGTCTAGTGCCTTGCTTTTGCTGAGGCTGGGTTTGAACTCCGGATCCTCCTGCCTTAGCCTCCCAAGCTGCTGAGACTACAGGTGCCCGCTACCATGCCTGGCTGATTTCTGGTATACACAGTCATCCCTCAGTCATCCCTTGGGGGATTAGTTCAAAGATCCCTTGTGAATACCAAAATCTGAGAATGTTCAAGTCCCTTATATAAAATGGAGTAGTATATCCTCAGGTGATTCTCCTGCCTCAGCCTGAGGCTGGCATTACAGGCAAGCATCACTGTGCTCACCTATCCAAGTCATCTGTAGATTATTTTTACCTAATACAATGTAAATGATTGTCAGACTGTATTGTTTAAGGAAAAACAACAAGAAAAAAGTCAGTACACACTCAGTTCAAATGCCATTTTTCATCTGCTGTTGGTTGAATCCTTAGATGCAGCATTTGTATTATATTGGCACAGATTTTTAAATTTATCGGTGCCTTACCAGTACCTCTAGGTATCAATTAATTTGTGGAGTTTTTAGATTAAACTTTCAGTCCTGAGCTGATGATTATTAGGAACAGGAAGATGGTTTGGATAGAAAATCTGTATTAACAGGAAGTCTGTAGTTTCAGAAATTTTGTTTTCCACATATTGTGCTTATAAATATTAACCTGAGATGGTGAAAGCTGTGTGTGAGCTAAAGATTCCACTAACATTTAGACACCTTTCAAGAATCTGTTCCCCTGCCTAGAGCTCTGCAAGCACATGTCATGTCTCTGGTCCACAGATATGTGTGATACAGATGATGATACAGGTCAGGTGTACACCTAGATGCTGAAGAATGATAATGACACCAAATTTTTAAACCATGGATGTCTTAGCAGGATGTCTAAGGTTATAAGCCATATTAGTATGTTTAAAATTGTAATTTAAGAAGAGTTTGTCTTAATGTTTAGAATGTTATCTTCCCTTATTCATTGGCATCTTTTTTTAAGTCCATCATGCATAATTGAAAGCAGCTTGCAGTTTATGGTAGGGAGCACTGTGAAATGTATAATGTGACACTGTGATGATAGCTAAGACTGTCAAAATATGTCAGCCATCCTCTGTATTTAGGCTCATTTATGTTCTTAAACTTGAGATGCATGTATAAAAATATCACTCTTTTCTGCTTGCTTACTGGCAATTTTAACATGTTTTCACTCGATTGTCACATGTTGTTCTATAATGGTGTTATGCTTTCTAATCAAGATTTAGTGAAATTTAGTTTGCTTATTGAAGCCTATCAAAGTACATTCAGATATTTTTAGAGGAAAATATATCAGCTTTCATATGAACTGTATACTAAGTTATAATGTAAATACTGGGATTTCCTTTTTTAATGAAATCTCATATAATTAGAACTCAGATGATCAATAGGGCTTTACAGCTTGAAAAATCATTGCTTAGATCTTATTCTTGATCATTTTCATGATTGGGGCAGACCCTAGCTCACATTCCCTAAGCAAAAGGCAAAATTTAAAGGTCAAATAATCAGCAAATCATCAATAGTCACAAAACAGAGAACTGGTTCAAGTAAACATGATAATATAGAAAAAAAAATGAAACTTCAAAAGTCAACAATAATCTATAAGATTGATAAAGTTGGGCCAGATTAAAGCAAGTGATTTAAAAGTAAAATAAGAAGAGGTGAGGGAAATTATAGATGGACTTAGGAAATTGCAAATGGGGATATGTGAATTAATGAGATTGAAGTGGTTTATATTTGTTTCATTGAATTAAGGAATAGATAGATGCTCAGTGTATTCTCCAACCAAGTTGATAAATGAAAGAAGGGGAAAAACTTTGAGACAGAGAGGAGTTTCTTAATCCAAGTATAATTACTTTTTGCTGTAAAAATAATTATTATAAAAATAATTATTATAAAAATAACTGTTGTCTGAGAACTTACCATATTTTGTACATATTGTAATTCTTTATGCATATTTAACTATAAAACTGAGGATAGTACTGCAAGTTGGTTTTATTATTCCAATTTACAAAATAGGAAATTAAAGCTATGAGTGGTCCCTTTCTGTTCAGAGTCTAAAGTCTAAGTCAGAGTTTGACTTAGTACCAAAATATTCTCTTCATCCACAGAATAGAGTTTCAGTAGGCTCATTTTTCTAGAAAACAGTGAAAAGGCATAGTCACAATAGTAACTTTAAAATCTCTGGGAAACTTCTAAAAAAAGGAGTTAAGAACTATTCACAAATGTTGCATTGAGAAAGAATTCAGGGGCCTGGGGTTGTGGCTCAGAGGTAGAGCACTCGCCTAGCATGCGTGAGGCACTGGGTTCAGTTCTCAGCACCACATAAAAATAAGATATTCTGTCCACCTATAAAAAAAAGTAGTCACCTACAGGTCCTTAATGTATTCGAGTAAAGAACAAATTAGATGTAAGAGAAAGGAAGAAAAGAAATATGAAAATAAAATATATCAGTCTGGGACCAGTAAACATTAGGGAAAATAAGAATAGCCATATTCTTTCATTAGTTCCTGAGTATATCACTGCATTGTTGTAAAGTATGGTAATCTGTAGTAATGTCATAGTCTAAGGTTGGTCTATTTCCAGTTAAGTCAAAGTGTAAAAGTTTTGATTCTTGTGAGGTTGGGCAAGTTTTTGTAAATTGGGAAATATACTTTTGTGAAACCCCCTCATTTCTCATCCCCACAGTTCTGCCATTTAAAAAACTTAGGCTGAAAAGGATCAAGAATAATACAGTCATTCTCAAAAAAGAAAAACAAAACCGTTGGTCTTAAAGGTTAACAACACTTAATAAGACTGAATAGTGTGGCATTCATAGACAGGAAAGTGGAGCAGAATTGAAAATTCAGAAATAGAGCACATTCAGAAATAACCACCTGATGATTCTGGAGCCTGGTGGAGAAAGGCTGGCCTGTTAAATGCAGGTTGCTGGGATGTTGAATATCTTCTTGGAAAAAAAGTAAGTTTTGACTCTTATTGCATGTAAGACTAAATTCTGGATAAAAATAAAAGAAAAATGCTAAAGCTTTTAGAAGGAAATATAGGATAACATCTTCAAGTAAAATGAAGACAAGGATTTCTTGAATAGGGCACAAACCTCTCTAAAAGTAAAGGGAAAGAATGAGTAAATTGGACTGTATTAAGAACTTCTGGCCAGGCATGGTGGTGCACACCTGTAATCCCAGCAGTTCGAGAAGCTGAGGCAGGAGGATCTCGAGTTTAAAGCCAGCCTCAGCAATTTAGAGAGGCACTAAGCAACTCAGTGAAACCCTGTCTCTAAATAAAATACAGAATAGGCCTGGGGATGTGGCTCAGTGGTTGAGTGCCTCCGAGTTCAATCCCTAGTATCCCAAAACAAACAAACAAACAAACAAATAAATAAATAAATAAAAGGCCTGGGATTGTGGCTCAGTATTCGAGCACCCCTGGGTTCACTCTCACCAAAAAAAAAAAAAAAGGACCTCTGTTCATCAGAAGTTACTATTAACTAGTTGAAAGCACAAAATAGGAAAAAGATAAAGAATTCTTACATATTAATTAGAACAAAACAGCTGTAGAAAAAAGGATCAAAAGACTTGAACAGACAATATCCCAAAGAGGGTATCTAAATGGCTAGTTAACATACTAAAAAGTATATTACTTCACTAATTGTCAAGAAACATAAATTAAAACTAGTGTAATACCACTACACATTCACCACAATGGCTGAAATGAAAAAGGTAAAAATAGACAAGTGCTGGCAATAGCAGAACTCTTGGCCACTGTTGTGGCAGTGTAATTGGTAAAATCACCTTGAAAAACTATTTGGCACTAACTAACCCTGAATATATACATACCCTTTGACACAGAAATTCCATTTCATTTCTGTATAGCCAATTCAATGTATAAATATGCCTTTTCTTAAATCTATTTAATGAGTAATTTTCCATCTAAAAAAAGTTTTCATCTTTAATTGCCAGTTGTAGGCATCTAAAATTCATTACTCTTTGGCATATTGCTTAACTCTTTCTTGAAGCATAGCATAAACACAGAAAAGTGTATAATTCAGAAGTCTTGAGCTAATCAATTGTCACGAAATGAAAACACATCAGCACCAAAATGAAGAGACAGAAGGCTGCCTGCTTCCTGGGAGCTGTCCTTGTGCTACTGTCTGCCCTAGTGGGGGTTACACGGGCCTGACTTTTGGCACTGCAGTTCAGCTTGGTCTGCTCTTCAACTGGATGTAAATGCAGTCCTGCCTTACAAACCCTCGTGGGCTTCTGTCACTCCACATTCTGATTGTTAGATCCGTGTAGTTGCATGCAGCTCAAGTTTGCTTTTCCCTGCAGCCCATTGTGTGGCCATGCCACGACTAATGTATTGTACTGTTTTGGGGTCACTTGGGTAATTTCTGGCACTTGGCTGTTGTGAATAAAGCTTCTCTGTTTTCTGTCTTTGTAATTTCTTTCCATCCTCTGTGATGAAATTTGAATTCCAGTTACTTAATTATTAAATATGTTTATTTTTCACCGTTTTCAGATAACCAGTAAGATTATATGAGATATTGGAAAGCAAGCACCATATTTTCTTTTGCCTTGTACAGTATCTTGCACAAAATAGTTTTTGTCACTGTTGTTTTATTTTGTACTGAATCTCCCTAAATAATGTAAAATTATTTCAGTTTTTTCCCCCTCTCTAGGTATAAGAAACTATAAACGTAAGGGGGAAAAAAAAGCAAAGATGGGTGAAAAGAAACCAGAACCTTTGGACTTCGTGAAAGATTTTCAGGAATACCTGACTCAGCAGACCCATCATGTGAACATGATTTCTGGATCGGTTAGTGGGGATAAAGAAGCAGAAGCTCTTCAGGGAGGTAGACTCCTCTTAATACTATTCGTCACTTTTATAAATGTATAATGTTTGTGTGTAGCTATCCATACTGTGAAAACTAGTATTTACTAATGTAAATCATTCCACTTTTTTAAAGAAAGATATAGGACTTTTTTCTCCCCTTTAAGTGTGTCAGATTCTCCCTCAGATTTTTGCTAAGGGAGAATGACTCAACATGGGGTTCTAAAACCCAGCCTGTCTTTTAGGTTCTGTTAGCTAACAATAGACTCAAGGAAACCAGAAGAAAGCAAAACATCAACTTCGCCACCCAGAGAATTCAGCCATCAGGAAGTACGGATTAGACCTGAGTCTCCAAAGGGTTTTCTATTCTCTCTGAAAATGAAGAAAGGACTGACCATGTTTACATGTTTAAGAGGAGAAACTAGAATAGGAAAAGCAGCAACCTACTGAGCCTGGTAGAAGTAAACTTTCTTGAGTTTATAGACCACAGAGACTGGAATAAATTTCCAAGCATAGCTCAGGGTCAGCAAACTGTAGCCTATAGGCCTTATCAGTTCTGCTGCTTTTGTGTGGCCTACAAGCTTAAGAAAGATTTTTATTTGCTGGTGAGGTGGTACATGCCTGTAATCCCGTCAGCGTGGGAGGCTAAGGCAGGAAAATTGCAATTCAAAGCCAGCCTCAGTAACTTAGCGAGGCCCTAAGCAACTTAGACCCTGTCTCAAAATAAAAAATAAAAAGCTCCTGGGAATGTGGCTCCGCAGTTAAGCACCCCTGGGTTCAATCCCCAGTACTCCCCCGAAAAAAGAAAGGTTTTTAAATAATGTCATTACACATGAAAATTATATGAAATTTTAACGTCAGTGTCCATAAATAAAGTTTTATTGGAATATGTACATATATTTCCATATTGTCTATAGTTGCTTTTGTGCTCCAAAAACAGAGAAGAGTAGTTGTGATAGAGACAAAGCCCATAAACTCTAAAGTGTTTACTATTTCACTCCTATAGGAAGTTTGCTGACCTCTGACCTAGGCGGTCAAATCCAAGTACTGGCAGCAGGGATAAAGCATCACCTGGAGCTTGTTAGAAATGTAAAATGCAGACAGCTGTGGTGATGCACACCTGTGATTCCAGTGACTTGGGAGGTTGAGGCAGGAGGATTCGTGCGTTCAAAGTCAGCCTCAGCAACTTACAAGGCCCTAAGCAATTTAGTGAGACCCTGTCTCAAAATAAAACATTAAGAGGGCCAGGGATATGGCTCAGTGGTTAAGTTTCTGGAACCAAGTGGTTCAATCCCTGGTACAAAAAAGAGAGAGAGAGAGAGAGAAATGAAAAGAAAAGAAATGTAAAATGCCAGACCCCACTCCAGATCTAGTTAGTCAATTTATTTTAATTATTCATGCATACATCAAAATGTGAGTGTTCCTAGCTATGGAAAGCAGTGGGAACAAGGGAGATACCAATCACTTAATTTCTGGTGAAGGGTAGAAGTAACAGTGGAGCAGGGCTTGAGTAGTGCATGCCAGTACTGCTCCATCCTGGAATGGAGTGGAAGTTCTTTTCCCAGGAGACTGTAGGAATAAAAATTTTCCGTTCTGAGTCTAGTGTGTACAGATTCCTATATTGGCATTGAAGAAGCCAAGTTTGTAGTCCCCAAAGTTTGCTGGTTTTCCTGATTATGAGTACCTGCCCCTTTATACAGTTTCCTTTATACAAAGAAGTAGTCCACGTAGATTGAAAGCAAACACCCATGCATCTTTTAGCTCTGAATTTCTTAGTCCTCACATTCAGTGGTATCAGATAAAATATTTTCCTTTATGTGCTAAATTAGAATTTTAAGATCCTGAATATAACCCAGAATGTGGACTATATATATAAACTGAGTGGTAGGTGGAAAACTCATTAATTGCTTTAGATTAAAACAAATAGTTTTAGAGATTATTATGAATGCTAATTATTATTGTAGGAATGACTAGCATCCTAAGTGCTTGTGTGAACTGTGCCATCAATCTTAAGGGAGTCTCTTGGATCTCCTTATCTCTTCTTGAAAAGCATGTTGAGAACTGACTTATTCAACTTATGTTTATAATTTGAGGTCCCCCTATAAAATTTTCTCAGAATATAATGCTTTTATACAAAATTAGCCTCAGTTCGAAAAAAAATCTGTGTTATTTTACAGATTTAACTTGTAGGAAGTGAACTTTCAATTTATGAAAGATTTTCAACCACTTGAGACTAAAGTGGTAAATTGAGTTGATTCTGAGATGCATAATTTCTTTTGCTATACTTTGTTTATAGCTGGAACAGATGGTGATCAAAATGGACTTGATCACCCATCTGTTGAAGTTTCCCTGGATGAAAACTCAGGAATGTTAGTAGACGGGTTTGAAAGGACCTTTGATGGGAAGCTCAAGTGTCGGTACTGCAATTATGCCAGCAAAGGAACAGCACGGCTTATCGAACATATTAGAATCCACACAGGTAATGGAGAAACAGCTGTTGAAGGGGGGCTAAGGAGCCCAGGTCTGTCCATCATATAAAAAGCACTGATTGTTCACAAATGAAGGTTTGTAAGGTTTGAATCAATGGAGAAGTTATTCCATTTTCTTACAAAGCAATAGCTTAATGGCATACAAAGAGTGGGAAGTGAGGCCCCTTTTTAGTTCATCTCCCTTCTCAGGCATTTTACTGGTTGAACTACATAATCTGTCAACATCCGTCTGTTTTTAAGGTTGGGGGAGGTTAATGCTAAAGGCAGTATGGAATGTTGAATTGTTTTTATCTTACTCTCACTAGTACAGTTCATTTGCACCTGGTCTCACCTTCACCATCTCTGAGCAACCTTCCTAACGACACCCTACCCCGATTCAAGACCAGGCCAGTTGTCCTGCCTTTGTGTTCCATGGCATTCTGTGCTCATCCATCACATCATTTTGGTGACTTGAAAAGCCTGTGAAGACAGGGATTGTGATAGGGCCATTCTTGTACCCCAAAACTAACATAGCATCTGGCACATAGTAGGTCTCAATACTAGTTAGGTGAATGGCTCCAAATCTTTCATTCCAAATGTTTATTCTGCGTACTTGGGGAGTCTTCAGCTAACAGCATTAACTAAAGTCATGCCTTCTGGGAACTAAAGAGTAGGAAGGTGGAAGAAAAGTGCTGGCAGTTTTGAAGGGATAATTTGCATAACTCATACTTGGACTAACAAGTTCATTTTGATTTTGAACTTTTTATTTTATATAAGGACTTTTTTAAAAAAAGTATTTTTTTTGTATTTTTCCCCCCCGAAGAAAGGGTATGCATAAATGTGTATATCTATGAATATAGATATATAATTAATTGTTTATGTATGGTCATGTGCTTGAATATATTTCTCTGAGGCATACTGTTGATAAAATCATGTAGCAAATATTATTGTCATTTGGGCTCTTTCTTCTTTCCCCAAATGCCAGTTAAAGCTATAATATATTGACTAATAGAATTTAAATGTATATCTCAAATTGTTGCAGATGAGTTCTTAGGTTTTATTTCAATTTGCAGGTTTCTTTACAGACTTTAATAATCTTTTATTCAAGTGTGAATTTCTTAAAAACATTATATTTTCAACCAATTCCCAAATCCAATGAATGGACAAACATGGAACTTTCCATAAATGAGCTACTTTTGCAGTTTCTCCCCCATTTTTCCTTTAAACAGGTGAGAAACCACATAGATGTCACTTGTGTCCATTTGCATCTGCTTATGAGCGTCATCTGGAAGCCCACATGCGTTCCCATACTGGAGAAAAACCATACAAATGTGAATTATGTTCCTTCCGCTGCAGTGATCGAAGTAACCTGTCTCATCATCGAAGGCGCAAGCATAAAATGGTACCAATTAAAGGTACTAGGTCTTCCTTAAGCAGCAAGAAAATGTGGGGGGTTTTACAGAAGAAAACAAGCAATCTGGGGTATAGCAGAAGAGCACTAATCAACTTAAGTCCACCTTCCATGGTGGTTCAGAAACCAGACTACCTTAATGATTTTACCCATGAAATCCCAAGTATCCAGACTGACTCCTATGAAAGTATAGCAAAAACAACACCAACTGGTGGCTTACCGAGGGACCCCCAAGAACTCATGGTTGACAACCCTTTAAATCAGCTCTCAACTCTAGCAGGACAGTTGTCCAGTTTGCCACCTGAAAACCAAAACCCTGCATCCCCTGATGTCGTTCCCTGCCCAGATGAAAAGCCTTTCATGATTCAGCAGCCCTCTGCCCAAGCGGTGGTTTCTGCTGTATCAGCAAGTATTCCTCAGAGCTCCTCTCCCACAAGCCCTGAACCTCGGCCATCACATAGTCAGAGGAACTATAGTCCAGTGGCAGGTCCAAGCAGTGAACCAAGTGCCCACACTAGTACTCCCAGCATAGGAAACAGCCAGCCAAGCACTCCAGCCCCAACCCTGCCGGTCCAGGATCCTCAGCTTCTGCACCACTGCCAGCACTGTGACATGTACTTTGCAGACAATATCCTTTACACTATTCACATGGGGTGTCATGGGTATGAAAATCCTTTCCAGTGTAATATATGTGGATGCAAATGTAAAAACAAGTATGATTTCGCCTGTCATTTTGCAAGAGGGCAACATAACCAACACTGAAAACAATCACTATGTTTTACTTGGTTTGGCCTTCTGGGGGGTTGTAGTTTGTTTTTTTGTGGGTTTTTTTTTGGGGGGGGAGGTTATCCCTAATGAGGTGTCTGCTAATTTAAAATTTATGCATTATATTTATAGAATATAAATTTGACAGTGGAAAATTTTTTTCATAAAAGTTTGGTCAGGGTCATTTATGTATTAGAATAGTTATCGATATCTGTTTTTCCCTTTCATTTATACATGTGAGAATTGGAGTACAATCATAATTTTAACAGGTGTTCTTTTACATTTCCCACATTTATGGTCCATAGAGACTTGAAGGCTTATCCATATTCTTGCTATTTCCGTATATACAGTATAGCCAGATGTTACTTCTGCCATATTTCAAAATGGTAGAGTAAATTATTTTCTCTTACAAAATCTGTTACAACCTATTTCAGTGTTTGTAGAGAAATTGGCCTTTAAAATTATTCTTAATTAAAGTACTATTTAGTTCACATATCTTAAGTTGAATTAGTAGTTTGATTTCAACTGATAATAGTAAACCTTTTTTTTTCTACAAGGGAAAATGTAAAACAATTATTTTTAAATAAAAATAGGTCAAAGTTCTGAAAAGAAGTAAAACTCAAGACTTTAAATTGAAAATTGTGTTTAATATTTAAAATAACTTGTTTATTTTATGTCTACATTAAACATGTCAGTTTTCCATTGGATTTTTTCTAACAGTTGGCAGTTTGTTTTTAAAAACCACTAGATGCCATTTTCTTTTCATTTTGAACTTTTCATTTAAATTCTTCCTTCTGATGTTTAGTGTCAGGTGAAGTTGGTATGGTGAGAATCTGTTTCTTCCTATTCCTTTGATGACCAAAGAGATACAGTGGAAGTCATTCATCTTATTATTAAGATGCAGTCCTTCAAAAAAATCTCCAAAGTTTCCTTTTCCTGCCTTCTATCCATTTATTGCCCATAATATCCAAGAAAAGGTGGGTATAGAAACAACTGGGGAAATGTGATAGTAAAGTAATACTTAATAAAAACAAGAATTTGTATCCAGAAGAGATCCTGGTCTTCTCTTCAGAGTTGGCCATTTAAAATATTTTCTGTGAATTTAAACTGTAATATTTACTTGCAGTTTTACCAGTCTTCATGTACAGTGACAATACCATATGGAAACTGATTGAATTGTCCCCTTAATAGAAAAGGATAAAGGTGTAAAAATGGATATAAAATTCATTTAAACATGCCATTTAATTTGTTTATACAAGTAAGGCTTGCTAAATAGAGTAATTCATTTTGAAAAGGAGGCTATTGTTTTTATATTGTGTAATAACTAGCTTACTCCGAAGAGAGTTTGGTCAAACAATAAAATATATTGTTATTAACTTGGTTTCTGTGTACTTTGCAAAAAAATTATTTTTAACTTGGTTCATATCTTGAAAATATGCATAATTGGATTCTTAAATAAAATGTGCTATTAAGCATTTGTTAAACAAAAAAGCACCCTTACTCTTATAGTAAATAAAAGGGTAATATTGATAGTATCTGCTCACTAAGCCCCAAGTGCCAAGTTAAAAGAGCCCTCTGCCTCCCTGCAGTGCTTGAAAGCCATTAGAGTGAGTGCTTGAGGTTGAGTAGCCAATCTAGGCTAATCTCCACTGCCTTTTTTAAAGCACAGCATCAAGGACACTTTCTCCAAACTGGAACTCTCTTGCTGTCAAATCTTGTGACCTTAAGTTCTGATTTCACTCCTGCTTGAATCACCACTGCTTAGATCAGTTTTAGTGCAGTTTCCAAATGTGTAACTTGGCTTTAGTATTTATCATTTGTCAGAAAGAAACGAGTTGTCATTTGGAAACTTTCGCAATTTTATTTGTTTTCTATGTTATTCTTCAAATAAAAGCAATAGCCCAAAACAGAAAACAGAAATTTTCATTAAACAAAGAGGAGTAACTCTTCTGAAAACAAGCTTATTAATTGTATATTACGGGCCAAATAGTGACAAATACATTTTTTTCTAACAACTAAAGATGGATGTTTTAAAGGTACATTTTAATTTAAATGGAAAATATTTTTCATAATTACAAACTAGAATGTAAAATTATAATTTTCCTACCACTTAAAAGAGCACAGTTGGTATTCCAAAGGTGTTGATGCTTCAAAGCTACAATTCTTTCTAAATGCACTAAAATTTTTGAAGCAAATCTACCTTAGAAACTTTTTTGGAATTGTACTTTTTAAAAAGATTTAGTATTTTATTTAAACTTCCTGAGTTGAATTGTGTATTTGGAAAGATGTTAGGATCTTCCCTTAAAAATGTTCATTTCATTTTATTTTTAATCAAATATTTTATAGAAATGAGTTAGGAAGAGTTTAACATGCACTATTTATAGTACTTTGCCATTAACAGGCAATGTTCTGAAACTAAATTTATTTTTGTTCAGTGAACATGAGTTTAGATCTTTAAAGTTTGTAGATAATTTATCTCCACTAATATTTTTTTAAGAAACTGTGAAGAGATTAACAGGGAATAATTTTATTTCAGATTTCACTAATGTAGTATGTAGCTACAACTTCTTGAAAATCAAGTAAAGGCTAGCTAGACTTTTACTTTGAAAAAACTCCATTCGGTATTTTTTGTGCTGTTTCGTTTTAGAAAAAAATATTTGCCCTTCATCTGCAGAATTGATTGACAAAGGGAATATTACTAAAAATAAAGAGAGACAAACCTAATTTTAAGTTCTACAAAATTATTTATCAAATGAACGTGTTGATAAAATTTTTTTAATTCCCTGCTAAAGACTTTTTCTTTAATCTTAGAGGGTATATACTTTCTACAACTTGTTTTTGTTAATATGTACTTTGATGTAAAGAACATATTTTGTATGCAAAGCATAAATCTTGCATTATGGTTGTAAAATACATTATATTCTTTAGGAATCCAGGAAACAGTTTAATGCTGAAATAACTATATCTAGTATGTAGTTTAAATGGTGAATGAAGCTTTGCTTTTGTAATATATGAATAAAAAAATAATACTTTCTAATAACCTTGATTTTTCTTTTTTGAAAACTAGGAATAAATTAGTTTTTTAGTAATTTTCTGGTATGTAAAATGTTAATAAAAGAAAAAGATTTTATGGGTACTTTGGTTTGAATTTCTAGAATGCCTTACCATGAAAAGATCTATCACCAAGTTAAAAACAAAAATAGCCCCACATATGTGCAATTGCCTCCATCCTAGCTTACCCTCTTTATTCAAGATCCATTTAACCTGACTCCTATGCCCTAAGGGTTCTGGCACATCAATGAGGAGGGCCACCTCGGATGCTTAATTATCCATGTCATATCTGACAAGTGACTGAAGTGATTTCTGTTATGACTAATGGGTCCTTTAGAATAGACTGTTTTCTTTGAAAGAACGGTCTTTAGCAGGTCACACTATTGGCCTAGAAAACACCCACTAATACAAAATTACTTCTCTGCAAAAGCTCGTCAAAATCAAACAGTTGGAAATTCTGAAATTTTAATGTTGCTTTGAAAAATACTTCTGTACAATATTATCTTTCTCATTACAAAAAAAAGAAGTGACATCTGATAGGTCAGTGGTTGGTTGAAAGCATAGATATTTGTTTCCTTGTCTTAGATCTTCCAGAAATTCTGCTTTGAGCTTATTAAGTTCTTCTGCTAGAAGCTTCAAGTTGTTAGGAAGTACTTGTTCATCTAAAATAAAAAAGATTCTCAAATTATTTCTGCAAATCTAGGCTGAAAATTAATTTGATTATATCACACAAAGGATTCTTCTAAGTTCTCTGTCCTATTCAATACAGCAGGTACTAGACATTCAGGCACCATTACTGAGAATCTGAAGTTCAACTTGACCATTAGCTTTATTAAGATTTAATTCATATACCATAAATTTATCCACTTAGCTCTATAATACAGTGGCTTTTCATATAGTCTTATAATACAACCATCACCAAAGTTGATTTTAGAATGTTTTCATAATCTAAAAACCCTCTACCCTTTGGCTATCACTCTCCTAACTTCCCTTTTTCCTACCCCTTTCATTTCAATCCCTAATTGTCTCAAAAAGTTCCCTGCTCTGGACATTTCATATGACTTGAATCATATAATAGATGTTTATGATTATTTCACTTTGCATGTTTTCTCATGTTGTATTCTATATCAATACTCCATTCCTCTGGCTGAATAATATCCCACTGTGTGGATAGACCACATTTTGTTTATTCACTTATCAGCAGATGGACGTTTGGCTTGTTTCCATCTTTTGGCTATCATGAATAATGCTGGTATAAACATTCATGTACAAGTTCTGGTGTGAGCATCTGTTTTCATTTCTCTTGAGAATATAGACCTTGAGCAGAATTGCTGGGCCACATGGTAACTACATTTGAGGGACCGCTAGGCTGTTTTCCAGAGCAGCTGCATCATTTGACATTCCCAGCAGTAGGGCATGAGGGTTCAGATTTCTCCACATCATCAATGTCACCTAGGCTTGAAGTGGTGTCTCCTTATGGTTTTGATTTGTATTTCCTTGATGACTAAGTGATGTCAAATGCATTTTCATGTTGTTATTGACCATTTATATACCTTCACTAGAGAAATGTCTATTAGGATCCTTTGTCCCTTTAAAAAATTTGAGTTATTTACTGAGTGATAAGAGTTCTTTCTTTATATATGGATATATACAAGTTCCTTACAAGCTATAAGTTTGCAAATATTTTCTCACTTGTCAGTTGGCTTTTCACTTTATGATAGAGGAATTGAATTTTCAATTTTATTTAAACACAGATTTAGAAACTAGACCTTGGATCCCCTTAAGAGTTTTTTAATAGGTGGAAATAGTTAAGACAGATTTAGGCAAAAGATAGACTAGAAGAAAGGCAACGGTTAAGAGAGAACTCCTGGAACTACTTTTTATTATTTTCTAATTATGCTGCCATTTCTGTTCTGGACCTCTGCTATAAATTCTGGATCGTAACCCATTAGTGGTGTATGGCACTGTTTTTCTAAAATTAAATTAAAACAGCAGAATTCGTTATACATGTGAGGGTATTTTGTGAAACTTGTAGACATGCCTTAGTTTATGTACCATGTTACATACTGGTTTACAATGTAAGAGCTAATTAAGTATGGATTTTTTAAAAGTTTGAGAAACACAACATGGTTAGTATGTTTTTCCTTTCCCAATGTTCTAATCTTTTGTTAGGGTACTAATAAGAGTTGGTGATGCAGCTGTTCAGTCTTGGGAAAGTTACTTGATCCACTGTGAACCTGCATTTGCCCCTTGTAAAAGCACACCTGCCTTACAGATGTAAAGATTAGTGAGTGTAAGGCACTTAGCTTATAAAGAGAACTAAAGAAATGCTAGCTGCTGTTTTTTTTTCTGCAAGTAAAAATTTATAGTTAAATATTCCAAGCCTGAAGGAAATATATATTTCATCTATTAGTTAAATTCCGATTTACATCAATCTTGCTCAGAATTCCATGAAAATCTTACACCTATCTGGCCCTTGCCTACCTCTCCCCTGCCTTCCTGTGTCACTTCAGGCTCAATGGCTTCTTTTCTGTTCTAGAACATTTCAGACAGCTTTACATCTGGACTTAGTCACATCATATGTCCACTGCCTGGAACCCTCAGGTCTCTTGCCTGTCTTGTTCTTCTCATGACTCACATCTGGGTTTAAATGTTATGTCTAAGAAGCCTTTCTGATTGCCCTTTTAAGAATAAACCCATCACTCAACATTGCCTTGGCCTACTTTTTCTTCAAAGCACTGACATACATTCCTTTTTGTCTCCTCACTAGAATGTCCTGCTTCTTGCTTACTGCCCATATTGGTTGCAATGTGTCACCAAGTTGCAATTTTAAACTAAGCAGAATGTGAAGTTTGGAACCTTATAAACCACCTGAGTGTCAGGAAATGGCCACAACAATAGTCAATATCACATGAACAAGTCAACTACATAAACTACACCCCCCTACTGTCAACAGACCTTTTGCTTCCTTCATTGTCTGAGAGACAATTCTTCGGAGTGTCTGATCAGCTTTATGAAGAATGTTAGTTGAACAAATAGTTCTGTCCATTTCCTATGTAAATACAGACATTATTATCATTATTGTTACTGGAATAGCTAGTTAGTTTATCAAATAAATGGCTAAATGTAGGTGACCCATTTGATGAGATTAAATGAAAAGTAAAGTGGCTTTCCTGTTTGTTAATTTTCCTTAGGAGAGAGTCTAAAGGAATGATATCCACTTGCTGGAGAGTGTCTGCTGACTGTCTCTCCAGGGAAAAAATTAATCCCCAAAACCTCTCTGTAGTGTTTGCTTATTTTTGTGGTGTAAATTTACTATCCGTGTCCATTTCAAGGCTACCAATATAATGTCAAAAGGCTCCAGTGTTTCTGAAGATGAAGTTTTGGCCAGATGGCACAAGCCACCTAAGGTCACCACTATATCCAGGTGTCAGGTGCTGAATATTGGCAAGATGCCAAGCCACTGACAAAGCATCTTTACATCTGACTCACTGAAAGCTCAAAAAGATCTGAAAAGTTTTCCTTCTCATTTACACTGAATTCCTACTGGAAGACTTACCTTTTGTTCCATATTGTCCTCAATATTCTTTACTGGATTTTCCAAAGCAGTAAGCAATAATAAATCAGTCACCTCCAGGCTACAGAGAAAGTGGAATAAAATACAATAATTCCTTATGGTGAACATCTCTGTTCTTAAAGACCAAGTATTTATTAATACTGAATTGAATTCTAGAGGAGTGAAATTGCTTCAACCCAAGATCATTAGTAAAAGGGGAAGAACTCAACGGATTTGGAAGTATCTTCCATTTGCAAAATCCAAATACAAACAATTATAAGTCCAAACCTCCTTCGTTTACAAAATATTAATTTCCTTAGACTCATCAATAAGCTTTGAAATGTTATCCCCTATCTTCCCCTATTAAATGTTGGGCTGTAGAGGTTATCATATAGCCTCTATAGTCCAACATTTAGCCTTTAGTCTCTGATGAAAGAACGTCTGTCTTTACTTTCTGTCTTCTGCTTATTTACTGGATAAGGATTAGCAAAGTTCCTCACTGGTCAAGGGTCTAGAGAGGACTGAGGTAGAATTCATTCATTCACTTAAATATTTATTGAGCTTCTCATATGAAAAATATTGTACAACTGCTTATGTAGAACTATGTGCTGATTTGGGGTGTAAAAAGATCCCTAACCCCACCAAGCCTGATAATATAATGGAGGGAAACATCAATTAATTAAGCAAAAATAATTTTGAACACAATGGATAGGTGAGTGAAGACAGTAAATAAGGTGATAATGGTAAGAGAGTGACTCCTTCACCCTGGTCAGACAAGGCAGTCAGCTTAAATATATGGGAAACGCAGCGGGGGAGCAAGTACAGAGGCCACAGGAAAAGACTGGTTTAGTTTAAAAGTAGCAAGTGGGGAGGGGAAGTGGTAGAATACGAAGCTGGAGAGTCAGGGCTATTAGAACATGTAAGTAAGGGTCAGGAGTTTGAATTTTACTCAGAGTACATGGAGGACTGAAATGGTAAGCCAGTGAGATCATCATGTTGAGTCTCAACCTCAAGATGATTTTTCTCACACTAGGAGTTCAGGTTCTAAAGTGAGACTGCAGGGGGCTTGGCCACTTAACTACCTGGATATGTCACTTCCTGGGCCTGTTATCCTATGGAAAAAAAATTGGGATTACAGTTTCCCCTCTTACAGTGTTATTATAAAGATCAAATGAGGGAGCTGGAGTTGTAGCTCAGAGGAAGAGCACTTGCCTAGCATGTGTGAAGCACTGGGTTCAATTCTCAGTACCACATATAAATAAATAAAGGTCCATCGACAACTAAAATATATTTTTAAAAAAGATTGAATGAGACCATACATATAAAAGTCCAGAACATGCCCAATACATAGAATGTGATCAATAACTCTTATTATTTACTTTGTAGAAGTCTGGAAAAGATACCTTTATCAGGTCATTTTTCGACTTCAA